ACAAAATATAGTTTTAGATGAATACAAACACATCAAAAAACTTTATAACATTTACCATATGTTTTTATTTTGAGAAACTAAATAGATTTGAAAAAAAATCATCAAAGTTTATTATGAAAATGGTTCTTTCCCATGTGTTTTATTCGGTTTAACCGGTTCAACCGGTTTATTTTGACCGGTTCAACCGGGTTTTTTCTAAAAACCGGCCGGTTCAATCCGGTTCATAAATTGACATAAAACCGGTGATAGTTGAACCGTTCTCTCCTCCGGTTCCCGGTTCGACCGGCCGGTTCAAACCGATTTTTAAAACATTGGTATGCATGCATCTTCTACATATCATCTTCTTTGGTTCACCATACATGCAACTCGTTCGTTTCTGAAAAAATGGAGAAGAAAACCTAAAAAATCAATTATTAAGGGAGACGGATTTTGTTTCTGCATAATCACCTTCGTCGGTCGTATTCATCAAGAAGATGGGCCTGCAAAAAGCGACATCCACCATTCTCGACTAACCATCATCACCACTTCTCCACTATCGTTGCCTCATCTTCGATTTCAACTTTAGATTTTATTGGGCTTACTTTCAGGTTCTGATTTTCAATATCTCAAGATAAAATCGATTCTTACTAGGGCTACCAAACTAGTCATTTAATTTCCGTTCTACTCGTAGTTACTCAAGAAAGAATGCCCCCAATCGAACATATTTCAGGAAGCCTTATTCGAGTTCACTTCTTACCCTTGAATACCCCAAAGTTCAATTGGCGAGTATTGATCGTGATGATGATGGGTCGCTTGATTTTCATTCAATTGAGTGTAAGTCTATTCTGAATTCTATCTTGGAACAGACTTCATCCAGTTTACATTTATTCTTTTATTCCGTAAAGTTCAAGTTGATTGAACTCGATTTGGTTAGTCTATTCAATGGTTTAGATCTTTCAGGTAACTGGGAAAAAGCCCTTTGTTTGTTCGAATGGGTACCGGAGGATTCAAGAAATAATCAAGGCTTTCAATATTGACAACCAAATGATCGAATAGGTACCGGAGGATTCAAGAAATAATCAAGGCTTTCAAGTTGCTACTCCATTCTTAAAGAATAGTGCTCCTAAAGAATAATAGTCCATTCTAACATTGTTTCATGTTATCAAAAAGTTCATATTCGTGTATTGTTTCAAGAACAAGAGTGTATTCTAGCAGAATATCTTTCAGTTTTTCAATCTTAAAGAATGCAGTTGATTTAAATTCTAAAAAAATATTAGTTTCTACTTTTTTTTTCATTTTGATTATATGATTCACATTCTTAAAGAATCAGATGTATCGAGAAAGGAACAAGAATGTTAAATTTGAAGTCTTAATTTTTTCATTCTTTCCGGAATAAAAATTTCAAACCAGTTATTCTTATTTCTAAATGTTGGCCAATAGTCACATTACTTAAAGAATAAAAAAATAATTTTGATAATTATAATTTAAATTCTTAAAAAATTTAAATTAATAGAATTAGTTAACCTTAAAGTCCTATATTTTCCTTATTTAACTTAATATTAATTGACCAAAATACATTTTTAGTGAGCTTTGTGGTACTATATGGTGCATGATATTCCTTGGTAATCACATACACCCTAACATCATATCTTTTTTATTATTTTCATCTAATTGTTCGAATTTGGTTACACATTTACACAATAGTTGTCATTTACATTTGAACCTAACCATATATATATATATATATATAT